TTCTTGGCTTCTCTGGGAAAATGACTGTGCTGATGCTCTGCTAGAGAGTGGTGTCTTTCCAAAAATGACTAATCAAGTGAAGAAAATGAGGAGTGAGAGCAGATGCTGTTCGAGTCAGTAGGTGTTTGAGGTTGTGAAAAGCTGACAGCAAAGTGCATCTCTGCAGACCTTCCTTAAGTCTGGGAAAACTGGAAAAAGTAATGTTAATATAAAGGTAGGAGAGCACAGAAATCTTCTGAGGAAGGTAAGGTAAAACAGGTCACCTGCATTTGCTGTTTTTTTCCTCCCTAACTTCGAATGTATTGAGCTGTGTAATAACTTGCACATATCTGGAAGCGATGCAGAGTGCAGCAATCAATAATACAAGCAACAATAATCAGGTGTTGCAGCCATCTGACATGAGCAGTCTCCAAAGATAATTCTCTCCCGCAGGATGTTACCATACATAACTTCAGTTTATTCCCACTAAAAGAAGCAAATCCTTACCTGCCATGCAGACAAACCTTGCTGCAGAAAACTGGTACAGGATAGAGGTGCAGGAAAAAGCATGAGGATAACTGCTTTTTCACCTAGCAGCCCACAGCACTGACACGAGCCCACAGCACTGACACACACTGGGCTGGTGGTGGCCAGCAAGCAGCTGGAGCTCATAGTGTTTGCCATCACTGGTGTCCCTAGAAAATCCTTAGGAAAAGAGCAATAGAACAGTAAACAGCACATTTCCCTTCTATATTCAGAAATACCTGAGGAAGTGCAGAGCAGTGTGAGGCTGAATGTATGGTTTGTAAAGAACAGAGCATCATGGCACAAAGGCTGCAGCCAGCCCATGCTCTAGGTTAGCTGTGGCATGAGCCCAGCCTTACGTAGTAGAGCTACCATAGGTGGCAGACACTTCTGGAAATCCCCCACAGCAGCCCAGATTGGTGCAGCTTGCAGGTATTCACTGCAGTAATTACATCTCTGGTCAGGTTGGCTGCTTTTTCTTACTCTTCCAACTGAACTTCCCTGCTACCTACCTATAGTTAAAAACAAAGTAGAAAGTAACCCACAGCTGATACAAAGGAAAGCCAAACAAAAAAGCCAGGCTTTGCCTGTGCATATAGCCCCAGGGCTGACCTCGAGGTAAAGGAGCCTCAGCCTTCAGGTAGCAGCAGTGCTGGGCTCTTCCCCTGACACCAGCACTATCCATTGTAATTGGTTGTTAAACTGAGCTGCCTCTCAAGCTAATAAAAAAGAAAGTCCTCTGTCATTCAGCAATACCAAAATGACATTTATGTTATTTGGGATTTTACCATTGCTGTCCCATTTTAACACGGAGCAGTTGGTGATAGCATATAAATTTTTATGCCTGCCCATTACAAGGCATTGTATAAAAAGAGAGGTGGCTGAGGCAGTAAAAGTAATGTGGAAGTTATCTCCCTGCTCTACCAAAAAACTGAATAATTCAAAGCAGGAGGTAATGGAAAGTTCCTGACTCTGTACCTGCTGTTTTCCAGCAGTTAGCCTGGGAGCTCCCACAAAGCTGGTTTGTGCCTGCACACTGAAGTCATTCATTCTCTGTTGAGGAGTCTGCTAATAAAGAGGGGAGAAACAGAGATTGTCGGACATCAGCGTACCCAATAATCAATACTGCATGTTTTTTTCTTATTCACAAGCAACATAGTGGCAGATAAGGATATATAGCAATCATGACACAGTGTTTAATAAAAAAATCATGGTCTCTGTCACTCCGGCCAGTTTCCTGCTCTGTTTTATAGGTCAAGGTCCATGAAATTTCATAGCACTGGTGCTATATATATATTCACTGTAGCAGAGTGTGACATTTAGTTTCTATTAAGCCATATACTATAGGGAGGAGGAAGATGCTTTACCCAAAACAACACATGCAGGGTGTTCTTTCACGCAGTGATTTCTTTCAAATATATCTGTATTTTACTACCTTTGTATCAAGCTGCAGAATATTTTCTAACAGGAGGTAATAAGGGAATACGATTTAATAATGATTATATTGCTAGAAATTAGGAGTACCTGCTCACTTCAGAATCTGTTTATAACCTTTGTGTGTTTTTTTTTTGACTGCTAACCCAGAATGTCACTACAAAAAGCTGTCATTTTCAATCAGAAGAGGCATGAACAATAGGGGGGGTAGTGACGGTCAGTGTCAGTACTGAGCTTTGTGTCCTGACCCCAAACACCATGGAGGGAAGGAGGTAACATCTGGTGAGTGGGGTCAGAATGACAGTGTCAGAGGCTGAGAAGAATAACATGGGGAAGTGCTTTCTTTACTCTGACCCCATGGTTTTGTATTTTTGAGAGCACGTGCCTGCCTGTACAATATGAATCAAATGTGTTCTTGAAGTTCTGCTTGTTGAACATTGTCTCATAGACCTGATGTGTCTTATTGGATGTATAAGACCAGCTAACTGTGAGTTATATGGCCCATATGTGTGTTTTGTAAATATAAGTAATCCCACTAGGGAATACTTGGAAACAGGAGGTGAAGGGGAGAAAGGAAGAGAAACACTCAAGAGGAAAGTGGAATATTTGATTTGTGCTATGACTGAGGATATAGTTGTGATCCTCTGAACTTGATGGTTTACCACGGCTTCAGTGGTGATTTGACAAGTGCCATCAGTCCAAGTTACTTGGAGTATTGCTTTACATCAGCTCAGCAGCGAGCCCTGGGAATAGTCAGGATTGGTAGCTGTGGAGGTGGTCATTCCTGCAGCTAGATGTGACACCTACCCATGTGACACTGGAGAACATCCTGCAGCATGAAAGCCTTCAGGGCTTGTAATCTCACTGAAATGTCTATTTGGGGAAAGACTTTTTAGATTTTTTTAGCAGAGCAAAACACGTGAGGGTCTGCAGATAGCAGTAATAATTCCTGCTCGCTCAAATCGCAAAGCATACCACTATCAAAATTTAATCTTGGCTCTTTGGCACATAATCATATTTCACTCATTTTCTTCATACTTTTGCTTGAGATAAATGAACCCCCTTCTGTGCCTTCACCAACCCAGAATCCATAAGCCAGTATTTTACAGCTGGGGCAGGAAATGTAGCAACTGGCACTTTACAGTCCATCTCTCATTCCCCCTCCTTCAGCAGTCAATAGCATTTTCAGCGTATGTCTCCATTTAAAGTTTGCTTACACCTTTCATTTCAAAATGATGTGACAGCAGTCAGTCCATCAGCCAGCACTCCTGAACCCGTTGTTCATGAGTCATGTTATGAGGAAAGTGATCATTGCTTGGCAGGGAACACCCTCTGGACTGACATTTGTGGGAACAGGGGAATCCCTGGTGAGTGACCAGCATCCCTGCTGAGCTATGCTGTGTCTTTGAGTGGTGGATGTTCCATGCTTATCAGTGTTCAAGACATTTGGATAATGTCCTTAATAATGTGATTTAACTTTTGCTTAGTTCTGAAGTGGTCAGGCAGTTGGACTTGATCTTTGCAGGCTCCAATTGAATTCCTCTCCCTCACCCTCGCCTTCTTCCTCTCCCTTTCCCTTTCCTTCTCCCTCTCCCTTTCCCTCTCCCTCTCCTTCTCACTCTCCCTCTTCTTCTTCCTCTTCTTCTCCCTCTCCCTGTCACTCCTCTCTCCCCTCCCCTTACCTTTCTTTGCATTTGAAGTGCTTTTGGTTATACATCTATCTTTTGCAGTTCCCCCAAACATCATTTCTTAAACACACAACTTTCTATACAACTGGAGCCTAAATGAATGTAAATCCCACATCTTATTAAAAGTTGTGTCTTTCTCTCACAAGCTAAAGGAGAAATATTTTTAGTTGGGCCCCATTCTACTTGTGAGCCAATATACCTGTCTTATTGAATAAAAACTGTATGAAAAACTCATACAAAATTTTGACGTATGTTTTTTTTGCTATTATGGTTTGTCATATGCTTTATTACATCTTGGACACACATAAGTAAACAATTTCGAACGAAAATGGACTATTTGTAGTCATCTGCTGGAGACCTGCAGCCAGCTCTTTGCCCCACTTATCAAGAAGATTCCCATCACAGTACAGGAAGCAGTGGGGAGAGGGCTGGTAACCCAAATGCGAAATCCAGATAAGTAGAGAGAGATGCATGTTACATCAGTCACTTCAGACCTGACCTCTGGAACTTTGCAATAGTTACTTGAGTGCAGGAGACTGACTCAGACTAGGAGAAGACTCAGATATTTGGATATGGAGGTTCAGACTTCTGGGATATGCTCAGGCTGTGCAAGGAGCACTGGGAAGGCTCCAACCCCAAGCTGGTCGTCTTGGAAAGAAAAGTCAGGATTTAGCCCATGGCAGAAAAGCAGTCCATTGGGAAGGTATTCCTCTTGTATATATAGTTGCTTCTCCAAGAGCACATATTTGCAGAAATGTATGTTTTGATAGAGCTGTGTATTGTTTTTACATTGTTGAAAGCACAAGAAAGATGTGGTAATCAACACATCCTTTTGTCATGAGCCCTAAGGAAAACACACCGAAGAGTCTGTTTTTTGCAGAGATTTCCCCAAATATGGGGGTGCATGTTCTATACTCCATTTATTGCAATACTCCTACATAGCCAAAACCTGCTTTGTCACTTCAGTGAAAATAATCACAGATCTATATGGAGTTCAGTAAAATTAATCACGTGTTCTTTATGTGGATTTGTCATGAATGAGAAGGTAGGTTAATTTACAGACACACAGTGGATATTGCAGTGAATAGTTTCCTGTTAACGCAGCGCATCGCTGCGTCTCTGAGTGGAGATGACTGGCTTAAAAGAGCATCTTTCATCTGTGTAAATGGTTTACTGGGGGGCATTGCAAATTGCTCTGAATGGATTTTTTTTCACAGAAACGGGGCTAAAAGGATAACACGAGTAACTGCATTCTCTAGTGCCTCCCAGTGTTTTGCATGTTTTCCTCAGTAGGAAACAGAAATCAGTTATTGGCAGCCTGATGGATTTAGTAATTGTAACTAATGGGGATGTTTTGTTTTGTATGTGTTCTAGGATGGAATGGGGAACCTGAGAATCACAGATAAGGGTCTGAAGCTGGAAGGAGATTCAGAATTCTTGAAACCTCTCTACGCCAAAGAAATCCGGTCAAGACCAGTAAGTTGTTGGGAAAGGAATAATCACGTTTCTGCAGTCTGAGCTGTAAGAAACCTTGAAGTGGCAGAGTGGTATCATTACTGGATAAATTACTTTGGCCATTCTATACAAACATAATTTGGGGAGAGAGACGGGGTGTCTCTCGGGTACTTTGTCAAGATACAGCATCCTCTGGGTGGTTGCAAGGTCGGTACCTGTGGATTTAGTTGATGTAAGACACAGTTAAAATTCTCCAAGGACCTCTGAGATTTTGCATGGCCTTTGTGTCTCCCTTCAGGATAAATCATAAGCAGCCCTCAACTGAAAGACCTGAGGTATAGGGATAGCAGGCAGTTGTGAATTCCAGCTCACATTTAACTAGTTGAATCTTCTCTGCAGAGAGGAATGAGCTGATGCCTTAGCAGAAGGGCCTGATCTGTTAGCTGGTGCAGTAAACCTGTACTATGTGCTCAGTTGTATTTCATGTTGTGCTTCAAAATTGTATGTGCTTAAAATTCAGCACTGCTCCGTGAGACTGCTTGACAAAAGTGGCAAGGATGTTAACAACTGAAAATGAGGAAGAATCCAAGTGTGATTGAAATAGCATTTTCATGGTAGCATTTCACTGACTGTCAATGCCTTTTCTTGTTTTTAATGCAATCCTGTTTGTCCTGAGTAGCTGTAAAATAACCAAAAAGATTACATATCCATTCCAGAATCCTTCTAAGAAGATGTCATCTAGCTTGTTTCCTCATCTGAAGTGTTGAGTCAGATACCAACCTTCCATTCTGATAACAATGGCAGATAGCTAATTAAATAAAGTTAACAGCCTTTTATCTCAGCATTTCAGTGGTCTTGTAGAAATTGGAATTTGTAGCATAATCAACGTAACATCCAATACAATATCCAATTTAATTATTGAAGGTTGTAACCTCTGTAAGATGGCTAGGAATTGATTTCAACAAGCGTAATCATTTAGGAAGAAAAGTTAATGAGAAAATGTTCATATCTATAAATGTTTTCATTCCTGAATTAAAAGAGACCCATAAAACCTTATGTGTCATACATTTCGTAATGTAAAGTGTGTGGAAAACGTGCAGCACTTAGTCTGATAAATAGACTGAAGAATTACTACATACATTTCTTTTCCTTCAGTTAGATTGCTGAAAATAGTACTTGATTACTGAGAGAACTAAGAACCCTTTCTTGCTACGGGGAGTTTACTGTTTAAATGTACCATTATACTGATTTACATTTTAATAAGGTGGGGGGACAGTCTGTGTCTCCTTCTTGAGATAATGAAACGAGTTTCCTCACCACTGACAGCTTAATGAATGCAAGAAATAGAAAACATACGGTAAGACCTCTGTGTGTGCTCCTTGCTATATCCATCCTCCAGGATTAGCCTTCTTTTTGCAGTTGTGCAGGAAAGCCAGGAAGAGCTGATCTACAGCCAAGCAAGTCAGAGCCTCTCTGCTCACTTCAGTCAATGAATCCTGAAGGCTGTGTTAACTATTTAGTTGCATAAACCACATGTATAGTTTCTGACTTCTTAGTGGAGTTAAACTGGAGAAGCCTGTGCTGAATATCAGGTTGCTCATAGTGATGCTGGAATTATTAATGAACTGGGAATCACAGGAACAATCCTGTTGATTTCAATCAACTTAGGCTTTCTTGTGCTGTGAGAGAACTTGGCCTCTTGCAAGCAAATCAAAGGGCTGCATTCAAGGAATGACACTTATAGGTTATTTAAAAACGTTATTGATTACCTGAAGCAATATTTGTTTAAAGCATGTTAGTATGAGCCATTATTCTGTTGGAAGGAAGCATTAAAGCAGTTCCTCAGCTTGATGAGTATTGCTAAAATAAGTGCCAAACTCAGCATTGATACAGATGAATATCCATAGTAATTCCATAGCAGTATTCCCTGGGTTTTTGGAAATGCATAATGTGGCTTTAAACATGCACAGTGGAAGAGAAGCAATATGACAAATCACAGTAAAGAATATCCAAGAAATAAGCTGGCATGCAGTGTGTTCTGCCTGCTTTAACAGCCTAAGAGTTATGCACAGTAATAGATTATGATTTTATTTAAAGCTCGAAAGCCTTTCGGACTCTGCTTATTTTGAATAATTATCAGAATAAAAAATGCCAGCTTTGGTATTGTTCTGTGCAGTAGATGGAGGGGCCCCATGAGCACCATGGCGCTGCATGGAAATGCAGGAAGGAATCGTGCTTTGTGACTGACAGTTAATAAGAACCTGAATTTGTCACTGGTGCCTCTCCTGCATTTCTAAGTCCCAGGGATGCTTTCCTAGGAGCTGTGCATTCCAGCTTATAGATAGTTTTGGATTTCCATTTCAAATGGATTTCTTTTTCAAACTAATTTAGCAGGAAGGGAAGACAGGAAGTTTAGGCAGGTTAAGGCAGGAAGAAAAGAGGTTTTAGACAGGGGGTTTAGGCAGGAAGAAAAACCCTGAAGTGTCATCCCAAAGGACTGTGGCTATCTGGGAACCTCTGCTTTCTGTGATTTGTGCAGCAGGTACTGTCTTCCTTGATCACCTTCTGGGATACGTGGTTGCCTTTAACTGCACTCTTTTTTGGAAGACAACACATTGCAAATGAAATTACAGCCAGGAAGAATGAATTTCTGGTACTGTGGCATGCAATTTATGGTACTAAGAGAGGTATTCTTTTGGCCTACCCTTCAAAGATATTAGCAGAAGGATTGTGTGGAAGTCATTCAGTCCCATGTGAGAGATATGGCCAATAAAACCACAGACCTGAACTGACTTCTAAAAGCTGCTTCCAGCATTTCCTGCTGCAGCACCACCACCTCCTGTCTCAGCAGTAACCTTTCAGGCTCACTCACCTTTTCCCTTACCTATTCGAGAATGACCTCAAATACTTCTCTCTTAATGTAGGAAGAGTCTCTGCTCCTGTTATTTCCCGTGCCCTGGCTCAGTAACACTTGGTTTGTAATTCCTCCTGGATTAGGACCCATTCGTAACTGTGAGAGCCTGCAAATAAACGTAACCTTGTTATTGCAGGAGCCTCAGTTTTTTTTGGAGAGTGACGAATAGCAACTGGTGGTAGCTGTGTTTGCACCCTTGTAGTCTTGTTTTAGAGAAATGAGATAGATGCATTCATTTCTCCTGGAGCAATCAGAGCATCTTAAACTCCCAGCTGAACATATTGCAAACTAAACGGTGTTTTCCATGCCACTTGCATGGAACATGAGCATCTTGCTGTCTTTAATTAGGAAGTTAACTGGACCATGAAGTATTGCCTGTGTAAATAAAAGTGATTTGTACTTAGTCAAGAAGGTGCATTAGGAATCCTCACATTTCTTTACTAGCACATAAATTATGGAGATTATGAAAAATTGGACAGGTCATCTATAAACCCATCTGTAGCTCAGCTGCACTGTCAATCTCAAAATGTAGCTGTCTTTCTAACTGTTGTAATTTATTGTGGACTATCGTGTGAACCATCTGCTTGCTTATAAATCAGACAAACTTTGACTGAAAGTTGCACGTAGCAGCACAAATTGTTAATTTTATGTGCTGGAAAGCAGTGTCAACAGTTTGGTGGTCTGCAGTCTTCATTGCGTTCGTCTGAATTGAACTCTCAACATGGAAATTTTCCTGCCTCTGTTCAGAAAAGCTGCTAATGAGCAGAGTACTTGAAGCCTACTATAAGTGGAGATTTAGCTTTTTTTAGAGCAATTGTGTTGTTTGAAGCTTGCCTCTTCGAAGACTTTCAGGTCTGTGAGTAATTTAAAAGGGGTGAGACAGAGAGCAGGCTGTCTGTGTTTTGCATTCTGGTAACAACAGACATAAACTCACGTGCTGAGATTATACTGTAAAATCAAGTGAATTACTTCCTCAGGAACTCTGTGACAACCAATAAGTTGATAATCTCAGCTTTAGGAGGCTGAGAAGGGCATTGCTATGGTAGGATTAGGCACTTTGGCCCTTTCAGTGTTCATTTTGAGCACACCAATAGGACAAATAAACCTCAGTTTGCAAATATTTACACCCAGGCTTGAGTTTTCTTAGCCCTGGGCAAAGTACAGTGCCTACTGATCTTTTCTTTGGGTGATGTCGGAAGACCCAGGCACGCTCACTGTGGGACACACCTTAGGACCATGTCTCTGAGAACTGAGTGCTTGCACATAGCATCTGAAGCCAAAGGAAGTATCTGGTGCCTGCAGTGGGAGGTCTGGCCTGTCACAGCTCTTGGCTGGGATTCTGCAAGGGCATCTGCTTGGCCTAAAAATTTCACAGTTGTGAATTAGGGCTGATAACTGCTATTCCCTTTGCTGGTGTTTAGTAAGTTCTCATCAGCATAAAAGCTAGACTGGCGAGTACATCAAATATGCTTGTCTGTGCTTTTCATTTTCCCCAGCCAGTATTTGAATGATAGAAATTTTGAAGGAAGCTTTTAAGACTGATAAATAATTATTTTGCCAATGCACTTGTCTCACTACGTTCAAATCTGGAAGAAGAGTAGTATAAATTTAAAGCACGGAAGCAGCTCTGTAATGCAGGTATTTTTTCTGTACTATTTGCTCTGCAGGTCTACCTGCCCCAAAGCTAAAAATACACACAAAAAAAACAATAAACCATGTACTTGGGCTTTACAATGACATGTGCCCTCTCTGGGGGCATACCCGCCTCACAGCCATAAGTACATATTTATAAACAGTGCAACATACTAATTTGGATTAAAAAGCAACATTCACCCATGAGGTGAGGCAGTGCAGATGGCAAGATAATTGCAGCCCTGTAAGAAGCTCAAACTGTGTGGTAGAAATCTTGCTTTCTGCAAAGACTCAGGTAGATAGCATGAAAGAAGGCTGCTATTTTTTGAGGAAGGGGATAGAATTATGCCTTTTCTTCTCCTTTGTCAGAGTTTATGGAACAGTAAGAGGGTATTGAATTAGTTCCTGATGATTTGGTCCAGCAGAGTGCTTAAGGATTTCAGTGCGCTCACTGAAGCCATCACAGGGTGGAAAT